CCCAGTTATTCCCATCACTTTCCCTCTTTGAACTAGTTCGAGTCCTAAGGTGCCCATTAAGTCGCGCCCAAGGATTGACTGGTGGTTCCCTGCTATCACCGACACCTGCGCTGGAGCAGCCCAGCCATTTAGTGCCATCGTCACTGCGACATTCCCCAGTATGTGTATTCGGTTGTTATTGTAGTCCAAATATTCTTCTTGCGATGGTTGCATTCGAAAGTTTGTTTTACCCAATGTTGCTTTTAGGTCTGTCACGCTGAAGATCGTCACTGGAGATCCACTATCCACCCACAGCCACATTTTTTTCCCGGACACCTCCACTTGAACTCTGGCCTCTGGTATCTTCACCTCCATCACATTCTTCTTCTTGATAGATATCACCATGTAGTCATCAGACTCCGACGACGCTGACCCATTCTCCCCGTATCCCTGCTGATTCACCCAAGCCACTTGATCTTCCGATGGTGCGATGTCTACACTATGTGTGCTTTGGTGGTGCTCATTTTCGTCCCTCACCAATCCTACTCGTCCTCGTCCTCTCCACTGGTTAGTTCTTCTTCTAATGCCCCTACATGTGCGTTCGAAGTGTCCGAATTTCCTGCATGCGTTACATGTTGCTCCCTTGGCAGGACAGTTTGCGATGTGGTCCAGCGTAAAATTCGGTGCGTCGCAATTATAACACCTACGGTTATTACTGCCTCCACTACTCGCCCCTGGGGTGTATCCTCCTCGTCCCCCCACGTGCTCGACCCCGAAAGTATCCCTGGCCTCTTCTAATATTGTTCACCGGTTCCTGTTTGATGCTTATTGGCGGCGCAGACGATGCTGGTTTTCCAGTGTAAGACTTGTATGCGCGTTCGCCTCTTTCGTATAATAGTGCGATACTGTAGACCTCCTCCGGTAACTTTGTAGACCGCGACAGTTCCCTTTGACACTCAGACTCGCGCATATTCATAAAGAGTATATCACGGATATTTTCGGCCGCATTCGCGAAATCCCATCGTCCGGCTAGTGCGCTTAACTCCGCATGGATTTTTTCGAACGTTTCGTTCTCTCTTTGTAAAATAGTCTTTCAAGTAAAATAGTCTTCTTTCGTGTGTTACATTTCTCTCGCGTCTAAAAACATTTTGCATTTCGTCCAGTACTCGTGGGTATCGTTCCGTTTCAATACTGACCGTCGGTTTTCTTGCTTTGAATAATCCCTGTGCCTCGCCCCAATACAGAGATACAAATTCGATTTTAACTTCTTCTCTGCCTCGATTCGGTTCTTCCCGTTGACTTCTTCTGGGAGCGCTGCAATCGCCGCTGCGTTTAGAGTATTTGCAAAATAAAAATCATCCGGATCTATATCGTATTTTGCAATCATCCCCCAGTGAAATTTAATGATCCACTCCTCCCAATACGTTGGGGGTTCCGGAGTACGTGCGTCCGAGAACGACAAGATGTTTAGAGGATTTTCCTCCTCCTTTTCTTTCCGCTGGCTGCGCCATGTTGAAGATGTAAAACGTATAGTGTGTAAAGTTAAATTGCAAAGCAACTGTAAGGCATCAAATCTAAATCTTACTGCACCGGATTGTTTCAGTTCATGCTGGATGATAGAGATTGCAAGGTCACAGCAGCAGGTCCCCAGACAGAAAACAAACAATGAATATAAACTAACAAAAACTCAAACTGGTTCCTTTATCATTATATTGAGGCTAAAAAAAATCAAAAGCCAAACCAAAAATTATATATCAAAATTGAGCTTGATGAAATTTAAAGACGATTTTTTCCTGAAAAACTACCTTAATTACACAAATCATAAACTCAATACTATTTGAAAACGAAATAGTTGCAAACATTGAGATACTTTTATCAAAGAAACGCAAGCAAAAAAAAACAGAAAAAGCTCTAAAAATCAACAATTGTGAAGAAAGTTATGAATACATAAATATGCATAAAAAAATTGCCCAAAACTATCATGCAATGAAAAATATTGGGATTAGTTAGCCTGCCTCATTTCAATTTGCGATGATTACTTGAACGCGTCGGAACCTTGACTTTTTATCGATACTAAATCAGTTGCGCATACACGTTGCGCATCGTACATAAGTATACATACATGAAACTAAACACAGAGGCGAGATTGCCCCTTTGCATACACAAGCAAAAATATGACCGATAACGCTACTGGGAAAAACTGAAGGAGTAAAACTTGGAGTCTGCAAAAATTCTTAATTGACGCAAGCCAATTATGACGCATTAGCAGTAAATTTAAAAGAAAAAACTTACCAATTGTACATGCCTGTTTATAGAGCGGACGCATTTTAGCTAGTATACGAAAAAATTCATTAAAAACATCGGACCCTGCCCAGGTTCGAACCCTCCTATTTTGTTGCGGGTTTCCTTCCCTACCTCTACTCTACAGATCCATGATAACTTGGAGCTGAAGTGCTATTTGTAAAACAAGACTGCTTGTATCATGTCACAGCCCAGAATATTTCAAATGTCTTTTAAGGTCTATGGAGCAGTAAAAAAAATTAAATGTAATAAAAATATAATATTTTTTTTTATTTTGAACTTTTTCGTGAAAATTAACCCCCACACGCTATATTAAGTAAAAAGTCATAGTTTTCGCTTCTAGTATCAAATCAATTTGGAACGATTTCTAAGACGGATTAAATATCCGCTTACGCGTGAAAAGCGCGACATATATCGCGCTTTACTTGACCCAAATTGACCAAAATGGCAATTTTTAAACCCCATAACTTCACAAAAAACGATCGCAGATAAAATATAACTTCAAAATCAAGCTCAGGACAACACTAGCTTTTGAATAATATTTAAAAATTCCGTCAAAAAAGGCTAGTTAAAAAGACAAAATTTGTCTGAAGGAAAAAAAACACCCGAGCACAAATATTCCGTAACTTTCGTTACAAAAATTGGAACAATAATAGTCGGTGTTAATATCCTTAGCATTGGCTGTACTTAATAGCTGGTAATTGATCAAAAAGGACAATTTCGAAATGAACACATTTTATTGCAACAATATTTGCGTCGCAACAATTTTTGCGACTTAGATTGGGAAAAAAAAAGTTAGTTCATACTATGACACAAGCTTTGCTTGTGTAATTAATCCAGCAAACCAACTGATTGACTATTTTCAAACATTCAACAATCAGGCGAATATTTTTTACACCGTAAAACAGGCATTTGAAAAAAATTTAAAATTGCCGAGACAATATTCAAAACTTCAAATAAGCTTCCAAAGATTGCGAATTTTTTATTATCAAAAAAAACTTTGGAACGCAAATGCTCCACAAAATAGCCTTAACATTAGCCCAATAAACAAGCGAACAACCAAATCTCCGAAGTACTTTTTTGTCACAAAACCTTGTTTTACATAAAAACCGGTGCTGACCGAGATCATACACGTTACATCTACGCCACATCTGCATACTAACACCTTAGTTGTAATTTTGCATAAACAGGTTTCGAATTATTTCGGTAAGCTAGTTATTAACCTGGAAAAGTCTATATTCCACTTTGTTAAAGCAAGTGTAAATTATAAGGGTTCTTGAGGTGAGAAGTTCAATTAAGATGTAATTTTATAAGGAAAAACAAATGCCACAGGTGAACTTTATATGGCTTGATAGATATATTATATAACTTTTTCAGTGTTGAAAAAAACATGAGTTAAACTATAACTTTTTGATATCCTGAATAAAAATTAATTGAACGCAAACCCCCTACCTTCAAGACAAAATATAGTCATCAGACATTTGAAAAAAGTTCAACGAAACAAATGATACCGAAGTAATGGACTTTTTGGCTTTTACCTTCCCCTCACCAGCGGTTTTTTACAAGGAATTTTTTGTTACAATGCCCGATTGTTACATGCTGACTAATTAGGCCATGACAAACATTTTTTTTCTTGCGTAACCTTATAAAACCTTTTGGGTACACCATAAAATTGATGCTTGCTTGTGTGAGGAGGGTGAAAAGCAAAAATATTCCTTTTTTGATAGTTTTCAATTTCCAAAAGAAAATCAGCTTTCAGCGTTTTTAAATTCATGAACTTTTGATGACTGTTATTTTTGGTTAAAAAAATTAAATTTATCAATTCAACAAATCGACGGAGTTGTGGGTTCTGTAGAAAGAGTTGGCCAAAAGGAAGGTATTTCCCGCAAAATCGAATCAGTAAAAACGATTAAGCATACCACTGCTATGCTGAAGAGTTTTCACTAAGTTTAAAAAACAACAAGACTGCTCGTATCAGGGCGAAGCCCTGAATGTTCCGACTGACTTTTAAGGTTTATGGAGCAGTAATAACATTAAAAAATTAAAAGTAATAAAACAAAATAAAATTTTTTTTCCAAAATTTGAAAATTTTTGTGAAAATCAACCCCCCACACGCCATATAAAATACAAAAGGATAGATTTCGCTACTTGTAACAGATCAATTATGGCAAATAAGTTTCGTTCAACCAATTTGGAACGATTTCTAAGACGGATTAAATCTCCGCTTACGCGTTAATAGCGCGAATTATATCGCGCGTTAATTGTCCCAAATAGGTCAAACTGGCAATCTTTAAACCCTCATAACTTTACAAAAAATGATCACAGGTGAAATATCTTTTCAAATTTAAGCTCAGGACAACAATATCTTTTGAATGATATTAAAAAAATGCCGTCAATAATGGCTAGTTAAAAAGTCAAAATTTGTCTGAAGAAGGAAAAACCCACCCCGAGCACAAATATTCCGTTACTTTCGTATCGAAAGTCGGAACAAAAACTGTTTGAATAGCGTAACTTTCTCATTCAGCTGGAGATATTGAAGTCAAAGTGCACTTTCGAAACAGTCATTCTTGTTTATTTTTTGCGCCATTTCCACTTTCATTGATTGGCGTAATTGGCCTTCTTGATTGTGCTATAAATCTTGGGTTCCTATGCTTTGAGGAGAGGGCGAATAAGTTTCGGAAAATACATAACAAAGATTGAATTGAGGAACAATACTTTAGGTCAGTAATGGTAGAATTCACTTGTTGTACAGTTAAATGTTCATTTTCTGTGGGTATCCTTTTCACTTCTCGCATTCAACTTATCAACAACAAATCACTGCAATGCGTATTTGAGTGAAATTTCAGGTAACTTTTCTACATTCTTTCACGATCAGTTTTGTTTCACATTTCCAAATGACTTCAGCATCGAGTCATTATCTCCAATAAATATCAATATTACTGATATATAATCAATTCAGTACTCACAACTCACTAGCTCAAAAATGATGCCCTACAACCGCTTCATAAACTGCAAGAAAGCGAATGCAATGCTTCCTAGTTAAAACATTAAATGTTAATCTGGAAAGATAAATATCTCACAAATAAAGTATTCATAACCTAAAGATTTGGTTCAAGATAAACATGATAATCATAAATTAAAGGTTTCTGTATCTATCAGTTTCGATTTGAAACGAAATAACTATGCTTAGCATAGTAAACCATCTGTCTATATATTCAAACATAAGACATTAAAATTATTTTCAGCACCTCCGTTTGTTCGTCGTTCGGGTTGAACACTTATTATTAAAATTAAACAGAATTGAAATGCTACTAATGCTTAATAATTAACATCGGATCATATGTTAATGCTCACACACTGATGTCTAGCAATCAGTTTTGAAGCATCAGAAATAATCCATCTCTTGTTGAGCTTGGCTCGAGAAATTGTCGTTCATGCTGCTCATCCCGAACCCGTTACTACTGCGGTTCCTCGGAGTACTCATTCGGCCGCCGCCGCCGCTACCGAAACCTCCGTTGCTGTTGCGACCACTTCCCAGTCCTCCGCGATTCGCCATCAGCTCGGTGACGGCCACTTGTCGTCCTGTGACGTTATTCAACACCTTTATCGGTTCATAGCCAGGCCCGCTGGACATTATCATGGCGTTGCTGGACTGGCTTTGACTCTGCTGACCCATGTGACCCAAACGCGAGTGCAAGTTATTGTCTGGAATATAAACAAATATTAGAAACATCGTGCGATGTTGAAAACAAATGCTATTTTGTTCGCCATGCTACGTTTCATTGCATTAAGGTAAGGTTAGAGCAGTTTTTTAATTCAAAGAAAGGGGAAATGGAAAAGATTCAAAGTTAGTTCCTGAAATGGGTCAGATAAAAAAAAACATTTTAACGTTAATTTTGCTAAAAACGTTTTTTCATTAATTTATTTCCAGACAAGTCATCAAATTCTGTTGCTATATATCAGAAGATACTCACACAGAGTCCAAGCAGAGCTTCGCACCAGTTGCGATACGCCAGCAGACATAGTATGACAAAAAAAGCTACAGAAATTAAGACGAAAACCGCCCGCTAAATAGATGAAAAAAAAACTTAAAAAAAATTTGGAGAAAATCTAGATCTGCTAAGATTTTCATTTGTCTCAATTTGTTTTGAATAAAAATCAATTGTTGAAAAAAGCAACAAAACAATGGAAGGTAAATTTGGATTGAGTGTAGATGAGGAAAACTGGCAATTTCAGACCCGGATTACTTTGGTAAGTCATAGAAATCAGATATTGATACTTTTACAGATGGTGGCTCTGATCATTTGCTCTTGGTCTATGTAAAAGTTTTACTGAATTTCAAAGGAACTGTTGTCCAAAATGGACGGTGAAAACAGGCATTTTACAGAGTCTAAAATTTGCGCTTATTTTTGTCCACTAGTGTAAAAGCACTCACTACGTGCATTACTCTTAATTAAACAAAACAACTAACTGAATACTCCAGTATTCTCTGTTTGTTCCTTGAACTTCTTGAACTCCAGAAACTCTGCAAACAATTTCTGCTCATTCGAAACGCTCGGAACACTCTGGAATGACATCGGCTGTGGCTGACTTGCCATCATTCCAGAGTTGCCACCATTTTGACTCATACCCGCTGTTCCAGGTCGCTTGTTGCGCATGACTGGGTTCACGGTAGCTCCACCTCGGATCAGTTTAAGAGCACTGGCGACATCTCTTCCTCCACTGAACTTCTGAAGTTCCTCTTCGCCGTGCGCAAAAGTGCAAGTCTCCTCATGATAACAGTGTCCATGGGTAGTCCAGTTGTGACACATCACTGTTTTGTAATTGCTTCTTAATATGCGAGGGTTCTCAGGACTCTCAGTTCTCAGCTCGGAGTCACCATGCGCAAAATCGCAATTCACTTTGTTGCAATGTCCATTTTGTTGAAAGATTTTGCACAGAGAGCATTTCCATTTTGGATTTTCCTGAATTTTTGCGTCAAAATCTCCTAAAACATTGCAAAAATTTATTTCATTAGTCTTTTTTTCGTTTAAGGTAACATTTATCATCTCATTTTTAACAAAAAGCTTGATAGATACACTAGTGAACAAAATTAAGCGCAAATTCTAGAATTTACACTGTAATATGCCTGTGTTTCACTGTAATATACACTGTTCATTGCCTTCAATGAATTTTAACCAACTTTATTATTTACACTTTGCTATACTGATGCCTCGGCTTTTATTGTATAGTAATTTAGGTGTTCTTTCTTCTTCTTCTGTTCAGAGTGCATTTTGGACAATATTTCCTTTGAAATTCAGTTTAACTTTTACATAGACCAAGAGCAAATGATCAGAGCTACCATTAGTAAAAGTATCAATATTTGGTTTCAATGACTTACCACTGTAATCCAGGTCTGAAAATGCCAGTTTTCCTCATCTGAACTAAGTTTTCTACTGCGAGTGAATAAGTAACAAAGGTCTGAGTTTAGTAAAAATTCACACTGATTGTTTCCATTTTCTCACTGAGAATGTTTCACGTTGCAAGAACAATTTTTTACTCTGCTTATTCAAGAAAGATTTCACTACGATGCAAAACTTAGTTCAGATGAGGAAAACAGGCATTTTCAGACCTGGATTAGTGGTAAATCATTGAATATTGATACTTTCACTGATGGTAGCTCCGATCATTTGCTCTTGGTCTATGTAAAATTTTAATTGAATTTCAATTGAAATGTTGTCCATAGAGCACACTGAAAAAAGGCGTTTTACAAGGTAAAATCTAGAATTTGCGTTTAATTTTGTCTAATACTGTAGAAAATAAAGCAATACCATCAAATCCAGCAGGTCTCAACTCATATCTCCCATGAGCAAAAGCGCAGTTTCGGCCACTCGGACAAACACCCAGAGTTGAGAAGTTGTGACACAGTGTACTTTTATACAGAGGAGATCGTTTCGTACTTTCGTCGGTAGCCCCTCTCAACTCTGACTCACCGTGAGCAAAAACACAGAAGTCTCCACTCGGACAGAAATTGTCCTGTGCAAACCTTAGACACAATTTCGTCTTGTACTTCGGGTCATTCGTATCTGGCGCTTTTACATTGATCAGATCTTCTTTTCCATGGGCAAAAGTACATTTGACTCCCATATGACAACTTCCGTGTTTAGAGAAATGCATGCAAAGAGCGGACTAAACAAATAGACATTTTTTAGCCCTGGCAAAACCCAACTTATCACATCTTATTGGCAAAAAATCTGATTTTCAGAACAGTATTATAACATAGAAATAAAAATTACCTTAAATCCTCCTCTCTTGTCGTTTTCAGTCCTTCCCGGATCATTCTCTGAGTCCGGGCCAATAATCAAATGGTTAATCTGCGACTGATTAGGACTGTGACTGCTTATGGTAACATCGTCACTTCTTAGCTCGTTTTCGCCATGCGCAAAAAGACAGTCATCTCCCATTTGACAAACACCTCCCTGCTCATATGCAGTGCAGAGCTGTGCCTTGTAGAGAACGTTCTCAAATGATCTCAATTCGCGGTTGCTGTGGGCAAAATGACAATTTGACCCCGCTTCACATTTACCGTGCTTGGCGTAATGCAGACACAATGTCGTCTTATATCGAGAGTCCATCTATGCTCTTCTTTTATAATACTAGTGTATTATAATATATACCAATACTTACCTGAAATAAAAAATTTACCATGAAAAATTGATCAAAACTATTTATTGAAGAAAAACCTGTGATTGTCCTTCCATGTCTCGCTTTCTGATTTCAATTTTGTCATCAAAAACACCTTGTCAAAAAGGTAAAATCAAATATTCAAACTAACAGAGTGAAGTCAGGATTGAAATAAGTGGGAACAACGGCCTACAGCGATAAATCTGAAAAAAGCGGGTAAAAGCATTGATATCAGCATGCTTCTTGAACATGCTTAACCAGTTCTTGTTCAAACGAAAAATTATCAAAAAACAATTGATTAAATAGCTTTATTTCGTTGACAGTTTGACTTCTAATTTCTGCATTTTTAAAAGAAAAATTCTATACTGTTTTATAGTATATCCGGGTAAAGGCTTTTTTGCCCTCGAGTAAAACTAGGTCATGGGTCAGCAACAATTGACGGAATCACAGCTACCAAGTAATCATGAAGTGCTGATTGAAACGGAGACAAAACTCAGAAATGCGCTAACAGCAAACAAATCGACGAAAGAAATAAAACAAATCCAAATAATCAAAATCATCCCCAATTCACAAAAGAAACTTCCAAATCAGCCGAAAATCTGTCGCAGTTATATCGAAGTTTTGCTTCTGATAAACTGAAAAAATTCCCCATAACAATACAAGTATTAGCCTAATTGTTGTGATAAACTTATTAAATAGATTTGTTATGTTTGATGTTTGTGCCTGTATGGGGAGCGCCCTCTGAGGGATTTTAGAGACAGGTCTGTCAAGTGACTTTCTGCGGGGAGGTGGGAAATTGGAACTGGCTTGAGGAGTCTGGTGGTGCGCCGCTGGACCTACTGAGCTCGGGTGAGATTTTTCCTTGTTTTTGATTTTTATAATTCGATTTTAAAATTTAAATTAATTTAGTTGTCTTTTTTTTTATTTGCTGATTTGTAAAATTCCCACTAACCGCTTATCATGGGTTAGTTCAGTCCCCTAAAGTCCAGTCAAAATCTTTTTTTTTTACCTTTATGCTGCGTCAAGATGAGGAAAAACAACAAAGAGTGTACAAGCAAATGTAACAGTCGCCTACTTTAGTCACATATGAGGCTTAAGAAAAATAGGCCCTATAACCATTGGCTCAAGAGTCAGGGACACTATCTCTTGTGTTTTTCCGCCTCAAGAACGGTCGGAGCCAATTCGGTTCGCTTGCGACATGAGACTGGAACCCATTACAGCTTAAAGGCCACTACCAAAATACCCCCCCACTCTAGAAATAAAGACGTCCCCATACTTAGGTCTCGGGATACCCAAAATACATGAACGCCGTTAAAAACCGGGTCGGAACAATCCGCTTAGTTACTTTTTATTGGACAGTGGAACTTTGATCCATTTCAGATGGATCAACCTAAAACTCGCCTTATCTCAACATAACTATCATAAAATACACTCGAGAAATTTAAATTGGAACTTACATATCGACGCACTTGAATATGAGGAGTAAGTTATAACTGAGCAGCTTGAGAATTAAGTAATATAACTAAATAAGTTTTAAGGCCAATTAGTTTCAATAACAGAAGTAAGTTTTTGTCTCTAGAATCAAAGTCTCTGAATGAACCCTTTGGACACTCGAGTTGTCCACTCTTCCATTCAGAGTCCACTCCTTTCCATTCGAATAATTGTTCTGTCTCAAGTCCGTATTCGATTCTCCTGTTTTCAGGACAAGACAGCTCTACTCTCTTGATATTTCGTATCGAGAAATTGCGAATAGCAATTTCCTGCCTTTTTCTTGAGTAGTTTCCCGCAATTGTTAATTCGGGTGTTCTGATTTCTGACTTTTTCATTTTCAGTTGGTTCGAGAAAATTGAGCATGACAGGCTCGATTCGAATTTTGCAAAATTAAAATTTCACTCCAAAATTACGTATTTCTCAAGGTCAAACCCCCAGACATGACCGACTGGCACATACTCCCCGGACTCGAGATCGATGTCCTCATCGTGTGTTGTCATCTGCCAATAAGTCCCAGAGAACCGAGTGTTGCTCAAGATACAGTGCCAGTGGTCATTTACAGAAGTTTGCATCGGACTTAAGTTTATCTACCTTCCAAAATTCACAACCATATAAAATTTTCACACTATCGCTAAACAGCAATCAAAATCTGCACACACCTGCACCCATGGATCCCCGCTTTTTAAGCTGGTAATTTTAAAATTTCTTTTGTCCTATTTCAGTCAGAGAATTGTCATGCATCAATTTGATTTATATACTAGATCTATCATATTAATAACAATATCTTATTCGTCTAAAATTTCTTTTTCGTGAACCCAGATTTCATCCAAGTTCACGCTCAAGCCCCCTCCCTCTCAAGACTCAAGACTCTAGAATTTCCTTTCGAGCCACTGGCTCACCTCATGTTCTTCGCCTTCGAGGTACCTGATACCGGTGTTCTTGGCACTGTAATTTGTTCCAATAGTGCCTCTTCGTCATCGGAGCTAATCACAATTTCCTCCCAGGCCTTCAGCTGTTCATAGGCTCGCATCCACTCTCTCTGCTCTTGCAACCTTTTCAATTGACTTGGTAGGCCTTTCACCTTCGACTCCCGGTTCAAGCAGAAGGAGTTATGAAGACTCAAGCTCACATTCCTCGCCAGGTCCTCCTCCAGTATCGTTTCCCTCGCTCTAGAATTGTCTCTGGATATTCTGCCTACTCTTTTCCACCCCGCCGTGATTGCGTTTCGATGGGTTAGCAGAGGTCTCTTAAAGGCATCTGGCCCTATTTCAGCTTGGAATTGTCGATACTCCTTCTGATGTTTCCTCATGTGGTCCTTTGTCACTGCATACAACCAGGATGTTAACGTCGCACGAAACCAAGGAAAGAATCTCAGGCGGCTCCATATGTGTCTGACTTGCACTGGTATGGCGAATACCTTGCATGCAGTCTCGAACAACTCCAGTCTCCTGCTGTAATCTATCGCATAAATCGATTCAGCTGTTGGCGCTCTCGATTCTCTGTACTTCGCTATATTCTCCTCAATCCATCTCAGAGCCAGCATCGTGCTTACCACTAAGATGGTCACCTTTTGTCGATACTCCGGTAGTCCTAGCGACTTAATTTCTTCTACGTCCCAGATCAGACAGAGATTGGCGCGGTCCGGGTACCACACTGTCTGCGCCAGACAGTGGCATGGACAATCCCCATGCGTGAGGTCGATGCTTCTAAGGTTGCGTTCTCCCGAAGCTTCTAGGAGAGGCTCAAGTTCCATCATTTTCTCATGCACCACGTCGACTTCTTCCGAGCTTGAAGCACCTACTGCGGGTTTCCCCACCACGTTCTGCTTCCCATGATCACTTGCATTTTCGCTCTCCAAGCCTAGAAGTTCTTCACCCCAGATTTCACTCAAGTCATCTCTTTGCTCCCTTGGTACTGCTCCTCGGATCTTCCTCAATAGCTTGTGTGAGTGGTGTGACATCCGAGCTAGTCTCACGCACTTGGGCACTGAGAAGGCTTTGTCTATCATCACCCTCTGGCTGGACACCTCCACCATCGCCATGTGTAGTGGATAGTGGCTCCCACATAGGTTAGCCAACACTGATCCCACTAAGGATTTTGCATTTAGAGGCAATCCATAGGCTTCGCTCATGGGAAATCCCATCTCTGCCTCGAGTCCGATCTTCCAACTCTTGATGTGCTTCTGGTTCACTTGTAGCACTCCGGGCCATGATTCCACGCTTAACGCGGTCACCAGATGATGTTCTGACTCTAGCCTCTCCAGTGACTGGAGACTGCACATTCTTGAGAAGAATCCCAAGGCTGTCGCTAGGTTCACGGTGGTCCTCGCGTAACATTCAGCCACTATCTGTACCTCACTTTTCTCCCTTTCAGTGATATCTTCAAACCAGGTAGTGAGGTCCTCTTTCTGGAAAGATTGTATCCTGACGCATAATCGTCCATCACAAATATGTTCGCCGTTACTGCATGTCGAATCAAGACAACTGCCCGGCTCCATCCTCCTCACCGGCTCTGTTCCACTTGTCACCTCACTTGATTCTTTCACCTGAGGCAAGATCAGTTTGTGTACTATGCTCAAGATCGCCAAGTCCTCATCCTCTGTCGGTGCCAATCTCACTCGCTCAGTGACCTCCTCAATCATACTTGCATGGGGATGTGGACACCAGGAAGGTCTGAGTAATTTCCATACCACTCCCAGGTTCGTGATCAACACGCCACTCCCATCACCCATTTTTAGCTCCACTCTTTTACTTGAGCGTGGCACACTTATCACTCCCGGCATCCCCTCAAGAACCAGACCCAGGCTAGGTCTCTCTCTCTCCACAACGTCTATCTCCACTATCTTCTCTGTCCAGAACTTCAACAGCTCCGCCACTTCATAATTTCTGTTGGCTCCTCCAGCTTCCAGGTCCAAGAAGGGGTTGTACGCCATTCCCATTACTCCAGAAACATATTGGTACTCTCCCTTTCTGTTGAGTTTCAAGTACTCCCCTGACGAAGCCAGGTTGCGGTGAACGTCGTGCTCCTCTTCGAACTTCTTGTTGTAGAACCTCCGTATCTCATCCAACTTCCTATGGTTCTCCAGAGATTGCCTAGAACCATCCTCCCTCTCTATCCCAGTGCTCTGATACACATTCAAGATGACTGTGGAGACTCTCCTTTCCAACGTCTTGCTTGCGACTGCTTTCTGATGACATGCTAGGATGGTACTGTCAGTCATCATCGACATCGTCCACCTCAAGAAACAGGTTGCATCCTTCCTCCTTGCCAGACTCAAGCCTGAGTTGTCCTTGGCAACGTGCTGCATCAACATTCGGTATATCTCTAGATTTTTTCCTCCCAGCTTCAACTTGTCGTATGAAGTCAGCGTTTCCAGCTCTATCCCCAACAGGCTCCACGCGAACATCAGTTGTCCTGCAGTCCTGATAAAGGGATTCGCCATCAGTGGTGGTGCCGATGAGGATGTCCTCATCGCCTCTTCAAAATGATCCTTCAATAAGTTCTGCCA